GCGCTTTTGGTGGAGGAAACGCCATGGAGGAGTCGGAAGTATTTGCCTTTCCAGCTGTGCGCGACGCCTTGATGTCGTGCACTGCTGGGCGCCGTCTGGTGTGCGATTGCGATAGCTCGCGGTGCCCTGTGGGTGCCTGCGAGTCGTTGTTCGCAGCTAGTGGTTGCCCATCGAAAGTATGCTGGTCAGAGCTCTGGAAGCAGACTTCGAACGACTCGCCGAGCCCATGCGCCTGCCTGCCTTGGGGCAGCTGCTTGGGCGGTGCATCGATCTACGTTCTGGGGGGTTGTCGGAGTGCCTGGGTGTTTGAGGGCGGCTACCATCTCATTGCGAAGCATGGTTGAGCTCCGGAGCTCAGCGCCGGGCCCCTTCTACAAGTTTGCGGAGCAGCGCTGCGTCAAGTCTTACCTTCGTGCCGCCAGCTCCGACGTTACCCCCGCCCTGTCTCCCGACCAGTGCTTGCTTGGCCGCCCGGGGGTGGCCTGGATTCCTCGTCCTAGGCGCCAACTGCTGCTTCGCTGTCGGCTCGAGCCTCTTCACTGATGCCTTATGCGTGCATTCAGAATTTGGGAGTCAGCATTCGGGCGTCTGGGGTATCGCCCAGAGCCGGGTCGAGCGGTTCGACGACGTCGACATGGCGATCAAAAGGAACATTATTGACCAAAAGCTCTGCCTCGAGCACCTGAGCTATGATCGATCTTGTTCGACCCGGCCGAGCCCGCCCCGCTTGGGGCAGATCCAACCGGGTCTCTCGCCAGCTGACGTTGTAGGGCGAGTGAGCCTTGTCGACGTTGTTCCGCAGTGCGTGGCCCGTTGGCTGCGCGACCCGCGGCTCGTCCTCGAAGATCAGTCGGACTGGCCTGCTCGGCCGGTCTGTGCCTTGGCCAACGCGACCTGGAAGACTGGGAGCTGATCGTGGGTGAGCTGCGCCGCCGCGGCGCGGTGACATACATCTCGCGGAGAACGAGGTGTTCGCGCTGGGCGGCACCTTGTGCCTCCATGGCGATTTCGGGGTCGGCGGGCCTAAGGGCGACCTCGCCTCGCGGGGTCCTGGTCTGCGTTTCATCGCGGGCCTCGTCCCGACCAGCGGCTGCATTCTCCAGCGCGTGGGCGAGGTCGCGGACTTGCCCGTGCCTGGGCAATGGATTTCGACAGTCTTGTTGGATGACGAGCTAGTTTGGATTTCCTCCGATGGGCCGAAGGAGTCTTTCCACCTGTGCCAGGTGCCGGATGCGCGGCACGGATATTCCACCTTCGAGAAGAAGGTCGCCGGCAGTGTGTTTGGCCTCGGCGTTGTGGAGTCGACCTGCGTCGGGCTGCTTGCGGTTCGTGCCAGGCAGGCCGCGGGCCGCTGGCTTGTCGCCAGGGCGGCGGGCATCGGCCTTCCCGAGCATCGCGGTAACAGGTCGCATACCTGGCGTTCAGTTGGCGGGCCGCGGTCGATGCAGCGCGTCTATTTCGGAAATTGGGGCTAGTTCGTGATCGGTGCTTCTCGCGACTGGGCCGCCCAGTGCGGCCAGCCATCGCCTGCTCGTGAGCAGCCCCTCGAAATCTGGGCTCGTTGCGGATTGCTCCGCGCCGAGCAGAGGGCCGTCGAGGGATCCCTCGCTGCGGCATCGCTCGGGTCCTACTGTGGCGGCCTCCCCAGGTTTCAGGGGCCAGATGGTGCGAGGACGTCATTCGCGGTCTAACCCGAAAAAGCATTTAAGAAACCCCCCCCCCCCCCCCCCCCCCCCCTCCCGGCGAAACGATATCCCTGCGCACCCTGGCGGCGTTATCCTGGCACCGGGAAGGGGGCGGATCCTAGGGGCCCCGCGGGTCTCGCAGGGGGGGAGGGTTTCTTAATCGCTTCTCACGGTCAGCACACACACACACACACACACACGCACACACGCACACACGCACACACGCGCACGCACACACACGCACACACACACACACACACACACACTCTGAGGACGAGGACGAGGGCGAGGACGAGCACGAGGACGAGGACGACGGCGAGGACGAGGACGAGGACGAGGACGAGGACGAGAACGAGGACGAGGACGAGGACGAGGACGAGGACGAGGACGAGGACGAGGACGACGACGAGTTTTCTTTGTGCCTTCAGCGCCCACCCATTTTTTTTGGCGGGTGCTAAGATAACGCCTCGGTGCGGGGCGCCCGGGATACCCTGGGATGGACTACCCCATACGACGGCCGAAAAAGATCAATTTCTCAAAGGGGTTTCAAATAGAAATCGCAATGAGAAGAAGAGGAGGAGAAGGAGGAGGAGGAGGAGAACACTGAGGTGACCGAAGAGGCCAATTCCTTTTCAGGACTCTACGCCTTTCCTCGGTCGCAATGAACTTTTCCTTAGTCTTCGTTTACTTTTCCTTAGTTTCTTTTCTGTCGCTATCCTTAGCGTTTTCTTACTGTTCTGAGCTTTTCGTTAGTGTTATTTAGCTTTCCATTGCTTTTCCTTAGTTTCCTTACAATTTCTACAGTTTTCCTTACGTTCCTTTTTTTCCTGATCAGGCCCTGCCTTTTTTTTCCGTGGGTGTCGGGTGCTAAGATAACGCCTCGGTGCGGGGCGCCCGGGATACCCTGGGATGGACTACCCCATACGACGGCCGAAAAAAAAACAATTTCTCAAAGGGGTTTGAAATAGAAATCGCAATGAGAAGAAGAGGAGGAGAAGGAGGAGGAGGAGGAGAACACATCCAAGACGGCCCCTGAGGTGACCGAAGAGGCCAATTCCTTTTCAGGACTCTACGCCTTTCCTCGGTCGCACACTTCCTTTTCAGATTACAGCAGAGTTCACGAGATCCTCGAATTCATTCCGGTTCAGTCCAGTGCAGCAGAGACTTCTGAGCTTCTCCGTAGCCATTGTGGTTCAGTTTTCAGGCTCAAGCTTTAGGATTCGATCTGCATCCGCCATCAGCAGCAGACCATTCTTTCGCTCAGAGCCTTCAGCGGGATGGAGTGGAAAAGCTCGATCGACTTGGATGCAGTTGCAGTTGGGCCAGACACAACAGGATGGAGTTCAGACGAGGGGGAGTACGCGAAGTTCCGCTCAGTTCCTCACGGAGAAGACGCTTGGTCAGAGTCAAAGCGTAGGAAGTGGATCAGGGACCGTAAGAAAGAGGCAGCTCAGTGGCACAAAAGGGCAGCTGAGGAGGCTAAGGTCAAGGCCGCCACGCAGGCTCAGGCCAAGGCCGCTAACGCTCTGAGGAAGCGCCCAGCAGCTCAGACGACACCCAGGAAGAGGCCCGCCGCTCAGACGACACCCAGGAAGAGGCCCGCCGCGCAGAAGAGTTCAGGCAGCAGCGGGACGACGAGTGACTCCCACAACGGCAGCTACGATGAGCCGCCCAGGAGTCAGCGCAAGAGTCAGAGGGGAAGGCCTTCCGCTAAGGCTGACGTGTTGAGCCGCCTGTTCTCTTCGGGCAGCGCGCCTTTCAGAGGCCGCCTCTGAGTGAAGTCAGAGTAGTGTCTCTCCTGCGCTCTGTCAGGCCCCCGCACTTTGCTCAGGCCGCACCTCGCCGTCCTTTTCAGAGTTGGCTTTCAGTGTTCCCTTGATCAGCGAGCCCGCCTTCCTTTTCAGAGTTCTGGCTTTCAGCTCTCGCGTCGTCAGCGAGACCGCCAGATTGTCTCACTTGAGACCCAGCGAACGCCCGCACGTTCAGGCGCCGAGGCCGGGCGTCACAAATTCGAACGCTTCGCGTGATCCCCACCAGCCCTTCCAGAACCCATCAACTTGAACAGGGGAATCAGATGTTCCCAGCTTTTCCGCAGCTTTTCCTACAGTTTTTCTAAGCTTTTCCTTAGATTGTCTGAGCTTTTTCCCTTAGTTTACTTGAGCTTGTCCTGGCTTTTCAATGTTTCTGTTGGTTGTCTTAGCTTATCTTAGCTTTTCGTTAGCTTTTGCGCAGCTTGTCCTTAGTTTCCGTTAGCGTTTCCTTAGTTTCCCTCAGCTTTTCCTTAGTTTTCCTTAGCGTTTTCTTTAGTTTTCCTCAGATTTTCTTTAGTTGTCCTTTATAGCTTTTCTTTAGTTTTCCTTAGTTATCTTCACATTTTCCGTAGTTTCCCTTAGCTTTTCCTTAGTTTTCCTCAGCGGTTTCTTTAGTTTTCCTGAGCTTTTTCTATAGTTTTCTTTGGCTTTTCCTTAGTTTCCCTTAGCTTTTCTTTAGTTTTCTACAGCTTTTCTCTAGTGTTCCTTACCTTTTCTGTAGCTTTCGTTGTTTTTCTAGCGTTTCCTTAGTTTTTTCCTTAGCTTTTCTTTGGTTCCCCTTAGCTTTTCCTTAGATTTTTTCTGTTTTCTTTAGCTTTTCTTCGTTTTCTTTAGCTTTTCTTTAGTGTTCTTCAGATGTTCCTTACGTTTTCGTTGGATTTTCCTTAGTTCTTCGCAGCATTTTCTGCGTTTTCTTTAACTTTTCCTGAGTTTCCTTTAGCATTTCGTTCGTTTTCCTTGGTTTGCCTTTCGTTTGCAATAGTTTTCATTCGTTTTCCTAAGCTTTTCCTTTGCTTCTCTTTGCTATTCTTTAGTTATCATTAGCTTTTCCTTTGTTTTCTTTCGCTTTTCCTTAGTTTACCTTAGCTTTGCCTTAGTTCTCCTTAGGTTTTCCTTAGTTGTTAATGCCTTTTTTTCAGATTTTCCTTAGCTTTTCTTAGCTTTGGTAAGTATTTCTGGCATTCTATTTTTCATGGAAGCCACAGATACCCTCATTTGCATTCGTCACATGCCTTGCGAGTTTCTCTCTTGGTCCCATAGGAAATCCCACCGATTTTTTTTTTTTTTTCGCTTGTGCGGGCGGGTGCTAAGAATATCGCTCGGCGGAAATGCCCCCCCCGGAATATTGAATAAAAACCGGGTGCTAATAATAACGCGGGGGGGTTTCTTAAATGCTTTTTCGGGTTATCTCATCCCTTCCGCTGTCACGAGGGAGGGCGTTCCAGCGTTTCTGTCGGAAGTGCTTTTGGGCCACGTGGCCTTCGTGGCGCAGTGGCAGAGGCGTATGTTCTCGGTGCTGGAGGCGCTTTGCCACTTTGCGAGGCGCCGCTCTTGCGCGACCCTGTCCAGCGAGGCCGTCGACGAGTTGCTGCGCGTGGCCTGCTTGGTGCTCTCGCGCGTAGTTGACCTGCGTGCCCCGATCGACCCCGTCCCGATCGTTTCCGACGCCTCAGAGTCGGGTCAGTGGTGCATGCATGGGGTGCAAGTTCACTTATGCAGGGCTTCGCTTCGCCGTGGAGGCGCATGTTGGCGGCGAAGCTGCCGCGCCCGTCGCGCGCGCCCAGTCGCTGGCGTCTCGGCGAGGGCTCGGGCCGACGCCTTTGACCGCGCACCCGCTGCTGCTGATCAGCTGCTACGACCCGTGCAGTGGAGGCCGCGTTGGGGCTGAGGTCGTAGGCTCCCGCGTTGGCGTGCACGTCGCAGTGTTGGAGTCGACCAAGCGCCGACTCATCCACCGCGATAACTACCCTGTGGACGAGGAGCTTCCACGGTTAAAATTTGTGGATGAAGCGTGCCGCGCTCGGTGGCGAGCCTGGTGCGGCGACTTCGGGGTCCTGCTCGTAGCTGGCGGAAGAGTGCTGGCGGGCCCTCGACTGAGGGCCCTCTCGCAAGCTCAACACCGCGGTGCGGTGCCTGCGTCTGCTGCGGCAGCGCTTCTGCCTGGTCGTGGCCCTCGTCGAGGCGCCGGCTTCGGTCGAGGTTGAGGTGCGTCGGGGAGCTGATCGTCTCCTTGGTGTGAGTGGATCTCGGGGCGAGAGCCGAGGCCTTCTTTGGCGCCGCCTGGCGCTCTACTGTTGGCTCGTCAGCTGCTCGCTGTTTCTGGGAACCGCTCGGTAGGTCAAGGCGCCCAGCGGTTGCCGTGTCATCTTTGCGCATGCCGCGCCCCCCATCGAGCGCTACTTCGAGCCAGGGGCGCGCGCTTGTGTCGGGGCGCCGCGGCAGCTCCCTACTCCAGTAGCGCCCCGGCCTCGGCCAGGGCCGTATCTTCCGGGCCGCGCGAAGGCCTGCGCGGCGGCGCTCTGTAGATGCGGCCGGGACATGCATCGGTGCCCGTGCTATCACTACGAGAGTGCCGGCGTGATCCAGGCGGGTGCCTCGCCCCGCCAGCTCCTCGCTGCCGAGCGCGAGCGGCAGCCGGGCCACGCGACGAACCGCGCCGCGGAGGCCTTGGGAAAAAGCGACGAGAAGGCGATTTTCATGGACCTCGAGGGCACTCGGTGCTCAGCGCATGCGCGCTCGCCCGCGCTGCTGATCACAGCTGGGCTGCTTGGCGGGGCGCTGGTGCCCCGCGACTGGCGCGGGGCAGTCCGGGGCGCCGAGCTCTGGCGGCGATGGCTCGTTCTCGAGGCGGCGGCCGCGCAGGAGGCGATTGATTTGAAGCGCTTCTCTCGGACCGGCCAGGCTGCTCGCCCGATGCCGCCGAGGGGCGCCAACGTGTTGAGCGCGGTGGCTGGGATCTACCGCGACATCGACGTCCAGGGCGCTGGCGCGCGCCTGGGCGGCCGCATAAATTCGTTGCCGATGTGACCGACCGCGACGCGCCTCTGGAAGTGGAAAGTCGTCGCGCAGCGGTGCCACTTCAGGCGTGATGGGCATGTCGACGCGTTGGGGCTGCGGACGAATTAGAACTACCTCCGGTGCCGCGGGCGCCTTGCATCGCGCCGCCGATCCAGTTTCCTCGGCATCTCGGGCTCGCAGGTTGCAGTCTCCGTGCAGGCAGAGGGCGCTCCTCCAGCGGGCGCCCCAACTGCCTCCTCAAGCGCGTGGCGGGCATCGGGGCGACGTCAGGGCGGCGGCGGGCTGGGCGCGCAGCGCGTGGAAACCAGCTGGCGCGCCGTCCAGGTACTATGACGAACGCCCCAGTGCAGCGGCCGCGCGGTCGCGATTGCCCGCGCGACGCGCGAGGAAGGAAGACGCGAGAGGGCGGGCGTCCAGTTGGTGCGCCGCGCCGACAGACTTGAGATGCGATGTGTTGCATGGGGGCGGCTGGAGTTTCGATGCCATCGTCGCCGCTCGTGCTCGACGGTCGAGCACTTGGAGTTCCTGTGGCACGACGGCGAGGTCGTTGGGCTTGGCGGGGTTCACGATTTGTGGCTTGCAGGCGCGTCTGCCGATGCTCGGGCGCAACCTCGCTTGCGGTTGGGGCGTGCGCAGGGCGTGGCGCCTCCGCGAGTTCCTGGTGCAGGCGCCGCCCCTGCCTTCGGAGGCTGCTATTGGCCTCGTCGGTCTTGCCTGGCGCGTGCAGCTACCTGGCGTGGCCTGCGTGTTTGCGCTGGCCTGGCATTGCGTGCTGCGGACGATGGAGGTGTTCGGCGTGGGGAAAAACACATCACCTTCGGCGGCGCGAATTCGTCCGTGCAGTTGTAGTTCCCCAGGAAGGGCCTCCGCGATTGTGTCGCGATCGAGGGCGCTCTGGTGTTGGCCTCCCCGAGCGCCGCGCTGCGACCCTGCAGCCTGGGGGCTGCCTTCCAGATATTCGGGATCACGAAAGTTCTTCCTGACCGACTTGCATGTTGACTCCCGTGGTTACCGCTTTTGAAGCTTGCGCAGAGGCGGGGCTTCGCGCCACTTCCGCGCGCTCGGCTCCATGGGCAAGGCTTGCGAGCGCAGGCGTTGGGAGTCATCGCGGATGGCCCGGCTGTGCGTCGCAGACGGGGCCGCGCGTCTCTCAGGGCTGGCGCGCTCTGGGCGTTGGTTGCCACCGCGCGCGCTTCGAGCTCACCCGCCAAATTGTGGCGGACCTTGACAGCCTTACCTGACCACCTTCGGCAGTCCTGTATACTCGCAGGTCTATTCTCGGCTTGTCTCGGGGGTAGTTGTATAGTTATTCGAGTCAGATGCCCTTCGATTTCCACGGGCGCGCAGCTCTTCGCAAAGAGGTTCACCATGCAGCTGACATTCACCATGGCTCGCAAGGCTCCCTGTGGGGTCTTGTGAGCAGCACTGGGGAGGCGGAGCCGGGGCGGTCGCGTTCGGTTCACTCCTGTAGAGTCGACCGCAGATGCGAGCATAGGCCACGAGAGGCAAGGTGCGCTTCTGTGGGCGGGTTGCCTCGCATGCCGCCTTTCAGGCGGGGTTGGAAAGTCGCGCCTCGTGGGCTGGCTGCCCCGCCTGTTGCCTCGCCTCCCCGCGCCGCCGTGCCAGGTTGCGTCCTCCCCTGTTGGGTGGGTGCTATGTTTGCCCTTGTGGGGCGGCTCACCGCGGGGCCTGGCAGGCGGTCAGCAGCGTTGCGCCGAAAACTGAGGCTGACCCAGCCCTGGCCACAGGCCCGAGCATTGCCCGCTTGTAGGCCACGCTCGAGACAAGCACAGGTTTGTCTCGCCGGCGGCGATCAATTGCGTCGCCCCGCCGTTGGAAAAAGGGAAACGTAACGAGTTTCCCCTCGGTCGGTTTTCTGTGCGTCGACGCTGCTGGGTCCATGCGCATTATTTCCTGATGTTGCAAGCTTCCGCTTCTGCGCGTGATTCCCAGGATGGGGGGTTCGGAAGGCCAGTGCGTATTCGACAGCCCGTAGCTTCGCTGAGGCTGAGCGGTACTTCGGAGCCTGCGGCCCATGGCAATAGGAAGAATAAATGGAAAAAGGGTAGCAAGCAGAGGCTGTTTTTTGCCTGTTCGGGCCTTCCTTGAGGACCTCTTGGAGGCCTCTTGAGCTGTCTTAGGGCCAGCTCGGGCGCTTCTTGGGCCGTCTTGGGCTCTATTGGACCACCTTGGCGGCCTTCGAGGCATCTTGGGACCGTCTAGGTGGCCATCTCGGCGCTATCTTGGGCTCTCTTGGGGCTACTTTGGCCGTTTTGGATGCATCTTGGAGGGCATCTTGGACCATCTTGGGCCATCTTGGCCGTCCGTGGCCGTCATGGAGCCGATGTGGCCCATGGGAGCAGTTTTCGGCGTTTAACAGCCGCAAGATCGCCCAAGCGACCTGTAGGACTGCCTGAGGGAGGCTCAAGAGGGCCCCAAGACGGCCCAAGAACGCTCAAAGCGGGCCTAAGACGGCCTCAAGACGGCCACGGGGCTTCCAAAAGGTTTATTCCCGTAGGAAATCGTATTTCTTACAGTGTCCACTTCTGCGGTGCCAACAGCATCCACGACGGCCCAAGAGGCCCCCAGGGTCGCCCCAAGACGGCACAAGAGGCTCCCAAGAAGGCTCATAACAGTTCCACGACGGCCCAAGAGGGCCCCAAAACGGCCCAACAACCCCACGACGGTCCAAGGGAGGCCCCTGAGGGCCGCAACATGTTCCCAAGGGAGCACCAAGAGGGCCACAGGAGTCCACGAGAGGGCCGCACGAGGCCCCGAGAGGGCCCCAATACGGCCCAACTCCCCCGAGACAGCCCAAAAGCGCCCCGGGACGGCGCATGATGGTCCGGGGTCTAGGCCCCCCCACCCCATGCTGATGCCATCGGTCCCCCCCCCCCCCTCCCTGTGGGTGTAGCGTGGTGCTGCGGGTGTGGCGGGCGTGTGGTACTGTGGTGCGCCAGGGGAGCTCCTGAGGTCGTCGTCGTCGCCGCCGCCGCCGCCGCCGTCGTCGTCGTCGGAGGGCTCCAGAGGTCGGCGGCGCCGCCGCCGCCGCCGCCGCCGCCGCCGCCGCCGCCGTCGTCGTCGTCGTCGTCGTCGCCGTCGTCGCCGTCGTCGTCGTCGTCGTCGTCGTCGTCGTCGTCGCCGTCGTCGTCGTCGTCGTCGTCGTCGTCGTCGCCGTCGTCGTCGCCGTCGTCGTCGTCGTCGTCGTCGTCGTCCGCGCCCCCCATCCGATCAGGGGGGAGGGCCCGTGGAGCCCTGGGACCCATCCCATCTGGGGGGGGAGTGCCGTGGGCCCGGAGCCCGGGATCAAATATGGCCCCCAAAAGGCCCCAAAGAGCCCTAGTCGGATCTGCAAGGGGGCCCGAAGAGGCCATATTCATTAATTTCCGTAATTTTGTCTGTTAGTTTTTGTATGACGTGCCAAAGTCGTACCACAAAGAGGTCTCCAAGACACTGGTCAAGCAATCTCGTGCCCCCATCGAGTACGAGCACTCTCCGTCCCCGCGCCAAGCAGGTCTCATGGACTTCGGCCCATCCCGCCACCGTGCCTGGATTGTGGGTCAGAGTTCTCAGTGATGCTGCTTGGGGTCTCTTCGGAGCGCTCTGGGGGGGCTGGGGAGCATTTTTGAAGCCTCTTTCGGGCCTCTTTGGAGCTTCTCGAGTGCCTCTTGGGGCTTCCTGGGGGCCTCTTGGGGGCTTCTTGGGCTCCCTTGGGGCATCATGGGGGCGCTCGGGGCCGCGGCCTCGAAACGCCAGTTCGCCAGCTCGGGCCCCCTGTCTGGGCCCCTCTTGGAGACGTCTCGGAGGCCTTGTGGGCCGCTCAGGAGGTCTCTTGGGCCGTCTTGGGGCCCCCTTGGGCCGTTTTTCGGGGGCCCTCTTGGAGGTCTCTTGGGCCGTCTTGGGGCGATCTCGGGGGCCTCTTCGGCCGTCTTGGAGCGTCGGGGAGCCGAAAAGGCGAGACCGCTAAAACCATTCAAAGACTCAAAATTCAGGAGGGAAAAGAACACACAGACACAATTAATCGTCGACTTCCCAGAAAATATGGGAAAATATGGGAAGTGGTGGGGAAGACAAAAACCCAGGAAATATACGAAAATATAGGGGATATTGTTATTTGTGTGTATTTATTTGTGTGTCCCAGTTTCCCTTCAAAAACCTCCCTCCCTCCCTCCCTCCCTCCAAGACTCAAAATGAGCATCGATTGATCAGTGCTTTTTGCGGTCCTCTCGGCAGGCCTCTTCGGATGCCTCTTCGGGCCTCCTCGGGCGCTTCTCCGGCCGACCGGAGGCCGTCGCGGGCGTCCTGGAGCGATGGTTCGGCGATTCGGGGCCCTCCTGGCCCGGCTTGGAGGCCTCTCAGGGCTCTCGTGGTCCAGTCTCGAGATCTTCTTGGGGCCGAAGAGGTCACTCGACAACACGCGGGACGGCCTGGACGATTTGATGATTTTGGGTCCGGGCCCCTGAAAGAATCCCAGGGTTGAGGACTACGGCTTAACGGATGAAGCCAATGACCTGAGGACACTCTATTTCGTGCCTCAAGGGCAAGGTGGCGGATCAACAATCACAACCACAAGTCTGGATGGTGCTGCCACTACAGCCAGGACGAGGGGCTCTGGTACACCGACGAGTACCCAGAGTCCACCTGGATCTGGAGCCTGGTCGACATGACGGAGCGATACAAGCACAACCAGATGGTCGTTGCGATCGATCTTCGGAACGAGGTCCACGACTACGAGGACACCCATCTCACGTGGGGCGACGGTGATCCGCAGTCCGACTGGGCGGCCGCCGCCACTCGCGCGGGCGATGCCGTCCTCGCGGCCAACAGCGACGTCCTCGTCGTGGTGATGGCGCTCTGCTTTGGGATGGAGCTGCGGCCAGCGCGGGAGCACCCCGTGAAGCTGGCGGTGCCAAATCGCGTGGTGTACGAGTCGCACAGCTATCTCGAGTACCAGATATGGCAGCTTATCTCGCAGAATTTCGGGTCCTGGGGTTCCGTCTGGAGGGTCGCCAGTCTCTGCACCATGCGGGGAGCCAGCGTGGAGAGCCAGACCCGCTGGTTGTGGCAAAAGCGGAATTGGGGTGGAGGTGGGGGGACTGGGAAGGGGGATAAGGAGGGTGAGAGGTGATGATATGATGCATGGGAGGGGGGTGGGGAGGGGCGGGAAGGGTGGGAATGAAAAGGAAAAGGAGAAGGAGCGGAAGGAGGAGGAGGAGGAGGAGGAGAGGAGGAGGAGGAGAGGAGGAGGAGGAGGAGGAGGCGGAGGAGGAGGAGGAGGAGGAGGAGGAGGAGGAGGAGGAGGAGGAGGCGGAGGCGGAGGCGGAGGCGGAGGCGGGCGGAGGCGGAGGCGGAGGCGGAGGCGGAGGCGGAGGAGGAGGAGGAGGAGGAGGAGGAGAGGAGGCGGAGGCGGAGGAGGAGGCGGAGGCGGAGGCGGAGGCGGAGGCGGAGGCGGAGGAGGAGGAGGAGGAGGAGGAGGAGGAGGAGGAGGAGGAGGAGGAGGAGGAGGAGGAGGAGGAGGAAGAGGAGGAGGAGGAGGAGGAGGAGACAGTCCTCCACGTCGCGGCTCAGGCGGAGCCGCAACCCACGTCCGCCTTGCCCTCGGGCGCAGGCCGGCCCGCGCGGCCGGCCGCGGTCAGCAGGCCTTGAGCCAGAACGCCGGCGAGACGGCGTCGACGTCCAGCTCGCATGAATCGACACTGCGTCTCAGATCTCGCCCTTTGCCCCCCCCACCCGAAGAAGATGCTCGAAGACCTCGAGGAGCGCTGGGGTCTGGGGCTCTGGCCGAGATTCTCCGAGGTGCTGCCCTGCTCTCTCCCCGCGTCCAGCCCCCAGATCTCGACTCTGGTGATGAGCGTGTTCAGGTCGTTGATCTCCGGCTCCAGCTCCCGGCATTCCCTCCTCGTGCCGTCGGCTGTCCAGACGATCGTGTGACCTACGAACCTCCTGCCTCCGCACGAATGTCCATCACATATGAATGCAGCGTGGCCACACGCCGCCGAAGACCAATAGGCAGTGCTCAACTTGAAGGTAGCTTCTGGAGCACACATCCGCTCGATCTCCATGCCTTCGCCTGATGCTCCAAGCTCCACCATCCGCGTGCGACGCACCTCAGTGCCTTTCGTAATACACTTCCTTTGGTCAACCCGCCTGCGCAGTAATCTCGCGTGTCGATCCACCACAGCATACGCAAGACCGATCGATCCAGCAACTCTCCGACGTATCGGGCATGATACAACGTGTGACGCTCTGCTGGAATCCGAACTTGCTCCGCCGTGATACCGGTGAACACTCTGCGCATCCACGCAAGCTTCTAGCGGTATTGCCGGCTGCGTGCAGTTCTCGGAATCATGTCACGAAGTTGTCTCGCACTCAACTCTCCGTTTTGAACTTCACTCAAGGAACCAGCCAGCAACAAAAGATAGTCAAATCCATCCAATAACTGACACAACTCAGCTTTTCACGTGCTGCGAACAACGTGGGCCTGCTTGCGTGAGTAATATTCCAGAATATTACATTTACCTCCAGGCCGTCTCCATCTTCCACCAACAAGTACACTGCCCTTCGCATGGCTCGTCCTTTATCATCTGGTTTCTCGCCGAAATTCTGCATCTCCGACGGTGACCAAATTCGCTGGCAACGATAGCTTATGAGACACGAGAACCAGCGGATTTTCCGTCACGCAACAACATGTTCATCTTCTTGATGTGGCCGGCCTTGGGTTTTTTGTCATGCCTCTGGAGCGCAGCGACATACATGCAGATGTCCACTCTCGTCATGATACAGCACGCGATCGCTCCAAGAAGGAAAGGATACAGCTTCACGTGCCTCTGGAGGGTCAGCTTCACCTGCCATGCCCTGCAGCTCCATCTCGTCGATGCAGTTCAGGTTCTTGATGTACTCCGTCTGATCCATCTCGATGATCATGTTCTCCAGCTGGCGGTGGCGCAGCCCGCAGTGGATGAAATTCTTCTCCTGCATCGTCATCTTCCCGAACGCTGCTTCCAGCGCCCGCACCAGCTCGGACGTGGCCTCGTCACGGCCAGCGTACTTCAAGTCGTCTAGGTGCGTCGAGGCCACCATCACCAGTACTTCTTTTCTCGTGCCTTCAGCCAGAGCTGCGGATCTGCGAGTGTGGCCCGCAGTCCGATGGATAACAAACACCTGATCGCGGCGAAGACCGACGAGCCGTGGAGCGTCGTTCAGTCCAAAGCCGCCCTTGTCTATGTGGAGAACCTCCAAGATGCTGTTGAAACCCTCGAAGCCTTCGGCCTCACATGTGTCTCGAATAGGTTCACTTAGCAGCTTCGACACTTCCTCGAATGTCAATGTCATGCATTGCATGAACGCCGAGGAGATATCCGCACTGCACAGCTTCAACCGCGTCGATGAGGCTCTTGGCACCTCTCCGGCTGGCCCTCGACATGGCCTTGAAGCCAGCCCAGTGACGCAGCTCCTTGAGACGAGCTGTTCGAAGGGCTTCACGATGTTCGATCTTCTCGGCCGGTGCCGAGATGCTGTCGTTTCTCTCTCGATGACCGCCTTCGCGGTGCCGTCCTCGTAGAAGCTCATCACGACCACGTCATCCTCATGCCCAGGACCCCCACGACACGAGATTCGCTCAGCATCTTCCACGCTTCCGCCGCGAAGCCAACCTGCATCACCTTCTCGGGTTGCAGAAACTCCACAATCTCTGCCGTAGCTCTGCCGTAGTTCGTCTCCTGGGTGATCCAAGCCTCCGTCACGTCGTAATCTGGGTTCACCTCACTCCGTCCGAGCACCGAAGTGTCGGGCTCCTCAGTCAGGTAGCTCGTCAGCTCCATGGTGCCGTCCTTCTCCGTCTCGTACTGCCCCTCTTTTGCGATAGCCCGCAGCGCTTCCACCGAAGACAGCTCCTCCATCCCATCGTCTTCTGGATCCGCCCCCAAGGTCTCCTCGAGCGTCACGGGCACCTCGACAGGCGGCGGGAATCCTGGAGGAGGTGCTGGAGGTGGCTCTGGTGGATCGTCTTGCAAGCGCCTCGCCACGTGCTCCCTGGGGTTCTCGGACTCCTGGGATCTCGCCGAACGTGGCCTCTTGGGCATCGAGCGATGCTCTCGACGCCAGGCGTCCACGCCTGGCAGGTGAGGCTTTCCAACATGCGATATCTCAGGCGCTTGCTCTTGAAGTATGTCCAGCACATCGGGCTCCACGGACAACAACTGCATGAAGCATGTGGCGCTCCAGTCCTTGTCCCCGATTATTTGTCTGAGACTGAGGTGCTCCGATGCTGCTCCTTCTCCATAGCACATGGCATCAATCCTGGTGTCCTCCTTACTCTGCCGCTTGGGTATCCACCAACACATCGTGTAGTACTCAAAGTCGTGCAGCCCTGGCATCGTAGGTACCCTTCTTCCAACTCGAGCCGGTGCAACTCTGTTGAGATGGAGACCACAAGAGGCTACTTCCGCGATATCTTCGTCAGCCCCCAGCCATTCGCCGTGGTCGCCCAGCCCAGGTGCTCGAAGCTGTCGTTGACGTCGTGCGCAAAATCGATGAGCAGCTGCGCCGGGTCGCTCTCCTTCGCCACGAACGCCATGGCGTAGGAGAACAAGATAGCCCTCCTCACGTCCGTGGCCCTGATCGCAAGGTCTCTGCCCTGCCACTGGATGGTGAGCGTGCCTGTCTCTGGCGCCGCCGCTGACGCCACCGTGGCTGGGCCCTTCCAGTTCGGCACAAGCTTCGGGGCCTTGCCGAGCTTGTGGAAGTCGACCAGGTCGCCGACCTTGAGCTGCAGGTCCTCCAGCACGGGGGCTGACCCGGCCTTCGAAGCCCTCTCCATCTTTGCCTGAGCGGTGGCCTCGATGATCGACGTCGTCGCGACCTCTCGTAACCTCTGCGCGTGCCGAAACATGGCCAGACCGTCCTCGTCATCGATCTCCTTGGCGCCACTCCTGTCGAAGTCCCTAATCATCAAGAGTACTCTGCCATACAGCGCCTTGTAGGGTGTGCCCTCGCCGATCGTCAGGAAGGCATTCTTCGCGTAGACCGCCTCTGCCAGCTTCCGGGCGAAGGGCAGCTTGGTGTCACTGTAGCGGCACTGCGTATCGATCAAGTGGAACCGCCTCCTCAAAATCTCTTGATGGCGCTCCACTTGAGCATGCTGACCTGGCGCCTTGAGCTTCCTCGTGGTGCCCATCCTACCTAGAGCAACTGCTGCAAGTGCTCCTTCGCCTTCGACCGTAAGCACCGCCATTGGATTCAATATCTGTATCCAGGCCATCGAGATGAAGTCGAGGAGGGTCTCGAGGTCCTTGTCCACCAGCTCTCGGGCAACCGTGAATTGGATACAGCCGTCGCACATGTGTCCCACTATCCGGCGCTCGTAGTAGAGTAGGTCCAGCTGCACCTCGTCATTAAAGACGAGGCTCAACTTGACAGTGGTGGTCGGCCAGTTGCCACCCTTCATCCACAGCCTGCAGACCCTGCACGTGTCGACGATGTCGTCAACCATCTGGCTCACCTTGGGCGGCACACCGGCCGCGGTGAGCATCCGCTTCATAGCCTTCTTGTTCGCGTGGAACCAGCGAAGGTGCAGTCGCCGAAGAACCCTTCTGGACACAGCCTCGTTGTGCCTGCACAGAGCGCGCCTTGCCGAGCCCAGGCCCCAATTGGACCAGTCGCCTTCCATGCCCTCCTCCGCGGCCGGCACGGGCGGAGGGCGGAGGCACGGCCCCAGCGGGCTCCGCTCGCTCTCGTCCGGGACGTCCTCAGCATCGACAGCTCCATCAGGTCGGGGAAGCTCGGCACCAGGCGCTGGGTCACTGGCGGCCGCTCGTACAGCCCGTCGTCGCCCAGGTGGCTGAGGCCCGACCTCCGTGGCCCATCTGCACTGTCCCGCGACGAGTGTGTGGCCTGGTTCTGGCTCGGGCTTTCCCTCGCTGGCACTGCTTGGATCTCCACGTCCTCACTCCCGGCGTGGCCATCCTGCATTCTCCTGGTATCCTCGAATGCGCGGCATGGACACTGTTGCAAGCTCGACATTTCCACTGCCGCTCGGCCGCCACGCCCTTCCTCGTGGACCGTGCTGGCCGCACGACGGCTGCTGGAACAAGCGCCTCTGCGGTCGGTGAGGCCCCAGCGGGCGTGCCTGAACTTGCCGACGTCCGCTGAGATGTCGTCGCGCCCGTCTGCTTGCCTCCCATCTTCCTCCCGGCACCGCCGGCCGTGCCCGCTGCGGGGGCGGATGCCGCGACCGGCGCCGCCGTCGGCGCCCAGCTGCCGTCGGGGCCGTAGTACGGCTCGCGCGCCTCGACGGGAGCCGCTGCGGCGGCTCCTGGGAAGGCTGACTGACCTTCCACCTTTTGTCGGACCGTCTCGCACGCCAGCTCTGATTGGTAGTCCATGATACTGTTCGCGATGGCCACTGCGAACGACCAGGGCCAGAGCCTGGCCCTAGCCGCCTCCTCCTTGCCCTCGATCGTGTCGTGCTCGTGCTCGCCATCACACTGGAACATGGCCACATGTCGCAGCAATGCCTCGAGAGCTGCCCACAACTCAGTACGCTTCCTCTGCGGTAGGCCCTTCATACTCTTCAGTCCAGCCATGCACTGATCCACCATGGCGTACACCACTCCAGGATACTCTGCAACTTGCCTCCACGGTGGTTCATGGTATAGCTTAGACCCAGCTGGACTCTCGTTCAAGAAGCCACGACCGCGACGCAGCTGGAACAGAGCAACTTCACCATAAAGCAGAGCTAGCGGTCGGCACCGCTCGTAGCTCTCGAGCCAACTGTCCGTCGCGTTGAACTTGTTGATGCTCGAGAAGCGCCCGTATGGCGTACACGGCGGCGACATAGCGACAACACCCACTCCACGCTCGAGGTAGCACCACAGAACCCACTGCTCGTTGTCATCCCTGAGATCCGATCCACACACGATGTCGAAGTTGGGTCCCATTCGGCACTTCCTCCGAATGCATATCCGACTGACGTATCCTCTTCCTCCGCAGATCTCGAGAACTCAGGAGGGGAAGAAACACACAGACACAATTAATCGTCGATCCCCAGGAAAATACGGGAAAATATGGGAAGTGGTGCGGAAGACAAAAACTCAGAAACTATGGGGAAATATGGGGAATCTTTTTATTTGTGTGTGTTTATTTGTGTGTTTGTGGGCCTCTTCAAGACCGTCCATGCCGGAAGGAGCGTTGTGGAGGGAAGGCGGCGAGGAGGCCGGGATTGGTCGCTCTCCGCACTCCAAGGGCCTTCCTGCCAGGTGGCCCCGTCGTCGCCGGCAGCTCCACGAAGGCAGGAGGAGCAGCTCTGGGTGCCGTAGAACTCCTCTCCCGTGAAACGTACTCCAGATTTCGTAATAGGCCCTCCAAGATAGCCTGGAAGAGACCCCCCCCCGAAATGAGACTCCCCTCCCTCTATTACGAACTCTGGAGTAGCTCTGGGTGTCGTAGAACTCCTCTTCCGTGAAAAGTACCAGGTTATCGTCGTCATCTCAGCAGGTCTCGAACTCCTCGTAGCGCGCGAAAATCCCGACGTTCATGCTCAGGCCCTCGATGCTGTCGCCGCAGTCCTCAAAGTGGTTCTCGATCTCGAACTTCTTCTTTTTTGGCTTTCTTCGGCTTATCGGTGAGAGCCTTTATCTTGGCGCGCATCCTGGCCTCCGTCGAGAACGCGTTCGAGCCATTCTGGATTTCCGTGGTCTGGCCTCGCTTGTCTCTTGACTCTGGTGATGAAGGGTTACCCTCAGCCATGAGGGCGTCGTTGATCTCCCTGAACATTGCCACCATATGTCATATACTGCATGTGCTGCTCTTCCCGCTGTTGCTTCCGTTGGTCGCTACCCTACGAGCTCCGCCAGTCACCCTTGTGTCTCATATCCTTCTTCTCGCATGTGCAGGGCTTCGCTGGAATAATGAATGAGGACTGAACTCGATCCACCCTGTCGCACTTGCCTCGCTCGCCGGACTCGTTTGGGAGAGATTGCACATCGTAGGCACAACAGTGGATATCAGCTTCATGATGTATGTCTCGGCGAAGCTGCATGACCGTTGTGTTCGCCCACAGAGAACTGCCACGTTCAGTGATCAACATGACAGCCCCGCCTCCAGCCACTCAGGATCGAACACATTCTCCAAGACATCGAAGTCGCTGCTGAGGTCGCTGTCCGGTTTCAGCCCCACGACGTCCTGGAAGATCTGCCCACTGCAGCTGGAACCTACCTTCCGTGAGGTGTCGCCTAAGCTCTCGGGCCTTTCTGCCGAACACTTGGTCGTAGGCCAACACCTGGATAATCGGCCATCCACCTTCACGAGCTGCACGCATAGTTGTGGCTAATCCGAGACGGTGACCGAGTACTTGTAGCTGATGCGGCGTCGCCTTTTGGCCTTCAGCAGCTGCTCCGACCGCCGCGACCTCGAGCCCTGCACCCTCAGTGTTGCTCCGAGGGCGCCGCCGAGAGCGGCTCACCCTAGCGTTTTTTATTCATTCTATTGCCGATCGGTGCGGGCCCTCGCACCCCCCCCTCCCCTCCCACCGTGGAGTAGATCTTCGCTGTTTTTGACGCCTGTTTCGAGCAAGTGGAGTCTCCCCCATAGGACGCACGGTCCCAAACAGTCGCACTAAGCAGAGGTCCAGAGCCAGACCCCCCCCCTCCCCTCCATTCCGCCCACTGTCGAAACGCCGAATAGAAAAACGCTCACAGGCGCACCTCCTTGCGGACCGTCTCCTGCTCGCGCACGAGCGCGGGCTTGGAAACAGCAGCTGTCCTCGACCTTGCACGGCACGCCGATCCGCGTCTGGAGCTGCCCGGCGCAACTCCGTAGCCCGTGACAGTGGGATCTTGCTTCTCCTCGTCCTTGGGCTTCGTCTCGCTCTCGCTCTCGACCATCACGAAGTCGAGCTGTTCGGGCTTCGGGTGCAGCTCGTCAATCGGACATCCTGTCGGCTTCGTCGCGGCGACCTCCTCGAATTTTGAGCACGGCAGTGGCCAGTGCCCGCTCCTGCTGGCCTTCAGGTTGTAGCTCCTCGTGCCTGCAGGCGTTGCCAACTCTCGACGTGCAGGACCGCACAGATGTAGGATGCCCAGGCCACACTCCATGATCGCGTTGAGCTGCTTCAAGGCGCGGTTCCCCAGCGGTGCCGGCACGTCGCTGTCTGGGATGATCGGGGCAGTGTAGGAGCCCAGGCTGCCACCGCCCTCGCTCTCCTGACTGATCTCTTGCGTGCCGATAGGCAGCCGCCACTGCTGATGACAGTAGTCTGGACCCTTGCCGACACCGCTGACCTCCAGAGGTTCGCGACGCATCATCTCCTCGGTGTTGTATCCGAAGCATGACGCCTTCGCGGCCTGCTGCTTGGCCCACCGGTCTCCTACAAGGTTCCCCGTGAGCGCCAGGGTCGATCAGGATGCCTATCTCCCCGTTGTCGAGCCTGGTACGCTCGTGGCCGAGGTAGTGGGTCTCGCTCTCCTTGTTCAGCGTCCAGACGACCCCGTGGAAGTCCAGCTCGCCGTCTGCGAAGTCGATGCCCTTGTGCTCGTCGTAGCCCTCGCGCCCGATCTCGTCATCCTTCGCGTCGTCGGTACATCCATCGACGTATTACGACTCGACTTCGAGATCGAACGCTGAGAGATCGATCTCCTTATCGCCCTCCGCCGTTGTCTGCCCAACATCTCCGCGAGAGCTCTCAGGCTTGTCCCAGCTGGCAGACGTACCCTGTGTCATGCTACTCGGCGGGGTCGCGACGGTGGTCTCAGCTGGGACAGGCGTGATGATCAGGCAACCGATGCTGAAGGCGCCAACTTGGGCGCCGTCCCGAAGACCTCCGATGCCGTCGGTGTGGGAGACGTAGTTGAAGCAATCGCCAAGCCCGGCGGAGGCATCGGTGGACTCATCGGCTTCGCTTTGCCGGCGGCATCCAAAGCCGTCGCGGTAGCAGAGAAAGCAGAGAGTCCCCAAATTTGGTCAAATCCGTAGGCTGGCCCTCGAAGCTCGTTCGCAGCGGCCCCTGAGGCCGAAGGCCCCTGGAGTCCATCTTCCTGCGACTCGTCGCTCCTCGTGAGCTGGCCCAGCACAGTATTCGGTGGCTTCGTCGCAGGGCAGGTCGGACCTCCGCCCACCGGCATCGAAGATCCGCTCGGCGAGGGTGGTGGTTCCCAGGGTGCCTGAGGATCAGCCGGCTGCGGCCTTCGGTCCGCTGGTCGTCGATCCTCGATCATCTTCGGCTTCGCCACGGCAGGTGCAATCGATACTCCAGTGAATCCTTTCAGCCTGTCACGCTGGCTCGATCTTCTCATGGCCGTCGCACGGTCCGGATCCTGCGAGCCTTCCAGAGCGAAGGAGCCGACCGCTCCGTCGCTGAGGCAGAGATGCCAGCCGCCACGGATGAGGGAGACGAACCTGTGTTAAAGCCGAGCCATGGTTCGGGCGAAGAGAGCTATGCACATGCACCGATCCTGACAACGTCCATCCTTGCCCCAGGATCGGTGCATATGCCTTCCTGGCCAAGGTAGGAGGGCGTATGCACCGATCCTGGGCTCAGGATGGGCCTGGCCAGAATCGGTGTATGTGCATAGTTCTTTTTCCTCTAATGGTACTCCAGCTCCTGCGCTCGAGACTGGCTTGGGTCCGTTGGCGATGAAGGCGCCTTTTCCTCTTCCTTTCCTGTGCGGGCACGATCCAAAGGCACCTCGGAACGGGATCAGCGAGCCCCTTCCGCTCTTGCCCTTGCCGAAGTGCTGGTACCTCGTCGGCCGTCCTGTGAAGCGTCGCCAGCGCTTATTGTGGAAAACGCAGTTCTGATACAGATACTGCTGGATGACGTCGTCGTCCTGGCCGATCTTGCCCGGGAAGTCCGAGCCGTCGAGGTCCTCGCCGTCGTCGTCGTCGGTGTCCGCGTCGTTCTCGTCGCCGTACTCGCTGCCAAGGTAGGCGGCCCAGGGTTCCGAAGTCGGTGGCGTGGGCGTCCAAGAGCCCAGCCTGAGCTCTGAGCACCCGATGCTGCCGTGAACGTCCCTGTGGCCGCCATGCCAGCTCTTGTACCGAGACCCAGGCTGCCACCCTGGCCTCATGAACACCTGTCAGGAAAATCCATCCGTGAAGACGAGAACGGGCCCGTGCAATACCCCCTGGCGCCCCCCCCCAGGGAGTGCTGAAACCAGCGCCTCGCCTGAGACATCCTCGAAAACTGCTGCGAAAGAGAAGGAAGTTGAGCACCCAGACAGGCAAACGGCCTGAGACATCCCCCCCAATCTGGGCGCGAACGGGCCCGTGCAATACCCCCTGGCGCCCCCTCTGGGGAGTGCTGAAACCAGCGCCTCGCCTGAGACATCCTCGGAAACTGCTCCGAAGGAGAAATATGTTGAGCACCCAAACAGGCAAACCGCCTGAGACATCCCCCCAATCTGGGCGCGAACGGGCCCGTGCAATACCACCTGGCGCCCCCCCCCCCCCCCCCGGAAGTGCTGAAACCAACGCCTGGCCTCAGACATCATCACAACGTGTGTTTGAGTCTGAGCGCGGAAGTGGTGTGGCTAAGTCTGAGCGAGGAAGAGCGAGGCAGAGTATGAGTGAGTCTTAGTTTGAGTGAGTCTGGGTGTGAGTGAGTCTGATTAAGAGTCTGAGTGAGTGTGTGTGTGTGCGTGAGAGAGTGACCTAAATCTGATTAACCTTGAATGCGAGAAGCAACTCGAAGTGCGAGTGAGTCTGTACATGAGTGATCCCGAGCATAAAAAACCTGAGTATCAGTAATCTCAGAGCCAGTGCGTCTGAGTATGAGTGAGTCTGAATTTGAGTGAGTCTGCATGTGAGTGAGTCAGAGAAAGAATGTTACCTGAAAGTGGGAGGTGTGTTCCTTCCTTCCTTCCTTCCTTCCTTCCTTCCTTCCTTCCTTCCTGTGTTCCTGTGTTCCGCGCAGTCTAGGTAATTATTCACTGCGTGGAGCTACCCATATGTGCATCTATTTGCATGAACTGGGTGTGAGTGAGTCTGAGTATGAGTATGATGAGTACGAGTCTGAGCACAAGGGAGTCTGGGACATCCTCGCAATCTGCCCCCGTGGGGAGCGAAAGCCAGTGAGTCTGGATATGAGCACAGTGAGTACGAGTCTGAGTCTGAATCGGTCTGAGTACGAGTGAGTTTGACAACGAGTGAATCTGAGGGTGGGTGGGTCTGAGTGTGAGTGATTCTGAGCGTGAGTAAATCTGAATGTGAATGCGTCTGAGTATGAGTATGATGGATATGAAGCTGGCCCTAAGTGGGTCTGAGTACTAGTGAGTCTGACTACGAATGAGTCTGAGGGTGGGTGGGTCTAAGTGTCAGTGAGTCTGAGTGTGCGTAAGTCTGGGTGTGAGTGAGTCTGCGTATGATAATGACGAGTGCGAGCCTGAGTATGAGTGAGCCTGAGCACGAGTGAGTTTGAGCATACGTGAATCTAGGACATCCTCGCAATCTGGGCCCTCTGGGAGTGTGGAAATCAGCGCCTCGCCATAGACATCCTCAGAATCTGCTTTGATAGCAGACGGGTCTGACCATCAACACACGCAAACCGCTTGAGCCATCCTCGAAATCTGGCCCCCCTGGGGTGCGAAAACCAGCGCCTCGCCTGAGACGTCCTCAGAATCTGCTCCGAAAGCGGAGGATTTTCGCAACCAAAACAGGCAAACCGCCTGAGACATCCCCACCAGTTGGGCGCGAACGGAGGCCGTGCAATATCCCTGGCGGCCCCCTTAGGAGTGCTAGAACCAGCAAGTCGCTCGAGATATCCTCAGCATTTGCTCATCGTCATCATCATCATCATCATCATCATCATCATCATCATCATCATCATCATCATCATCGTCATCGTCATCGTCATCGTCATCGTCATCATCATCATCATCATCATCATCATCATCATCATCAGCACCATCATCATCATCATCATCATCATCATCATCATCATCATCATCATCATCATCATCATCATCATCATCATCAACCTCTGCATCATCATCATGCTCATCCATCGTTCACCATCACCATCATACTCACATCATACTCTCACCATACCATGGTCATCATCATGTCAATCATCACCATTGTCTAGTGCAGAGAGGGAGGAGTGGAGGGATGGTCCTGCGCGGTCGGATAATAACAGTAACCCCATCTTTTGGATATGGGGAACAAGACTAATCCCATCTTATGATGTAGGAGTCATAAGAATGCGAAGACTAATCATAGGAAAAAGAGGAGGAGGAAGAGGAGAAGGAGGAGGATGGTGAGGAGGAGGACGAGGAGGAGGAGGAGGAGGAGGAGGAGGAGGAGTAGGAGGAGGAGGAGGAGGAGGAGGAGGAGGAGGAGGAGGAGAAAGACGAAGCGGAGGCGGAGGCGGACGCGGAGGCGGAGGAGGCGGAGGCGGAGGCGGAGGCGGAGGCGGAAGAGGAGGAGGAGGGAGGAGAAGGAGGAGGAGGAGGCGGAGCTGGAGGAGGAGGATGAGGAGGACCAGTGTACACCCAAGAGTCATCAACGATGTTGGAACAGACCCTCCTTCCACGCTCCCGCTTCATAGGCCCCTACAACGGTTCATTTCCGTTGAGGGAACTGCCTCTTTGGAACCTAACCGTTTGAAGACCCTAAAGCATACCAAGCAATTGTTCTCGGGATTCCAACGCCACGGATCAACCTGACTGCTGCGCCTTGACAATCCAGAATCGTGCCAGAACGCCATTCCTGGGAGTTCAACACAGCGGATTTACATAACTATTGCGCCCGCATGATCCGGTTTTTTTCCAAAACACCATTTCTGGCACGTGGATGATGGTAATTTGTGATACTCCTGGAATTTTGTAAACGAATGTGCGCGGCGCTAAGGCGAGAGCCAGATTTTGAAAAGGAACCGCCCTCAATCCGTGAAGCTCGTCCAAGTTTTTAAAATGAATGTGCGCGGCGCTAAGGCGAGAGCCACATTTCGGAAACGACCCGCCCTCAATCCGTGAAACTCTGGCAAATTTTCAAAAAAAAACGCATGCCGCGCTAAGGCGAGAGCCACACTTTGAGGACGACCCGCCCTCCATCTGTGAAACTGTTGCCATTTTTGATGCTTCAGAGTCGTAAGCTGTGAGGAAGTCTCAGGCGAAACGCCTGGCCCGCCCTAAACACAGGCATCGGGGTGCGACAGGGAGAAGTTGCTCATAAGGCAAAGGAATGGAGGAGGAGGAGGCTGAGGAGGGGGATGATGATGTTGAGGAGGAGGAACATGAGGAGGACGAGGAGGAGGACGACGAGGCGGAGGGGGATGAGGCAGAGGCGGATGGGGAGGAAAACACTGGGGAGAAAGAGGCGGAAGAGGAGGAGGATGAGGAGGAGGAGCAGGAGGAGGAGCAGGAGGAGGACGAGGAGGAGGAGAAGGCGGAAGAGGAGGAGGCGGATGATGTTGATGATGATGATGATGCTGACGATGATGCTGATGAAGATAATGCTACTGCTGATGCTGATGCTGATAATGCTGATGATGCTGATGATGATGAGGAGGTTGAAGAGGAGGATGAGGAGGTGAAGGGGAAGGAGGA